TGTCACTTACCCACCAACATTTCCTGGGCCCCCGTGTCTGCTAGGAAGGGCAGTAACCCAGCATAGGAGGCCCGTGGGCGTGGGAGCAGAGCCTGGGTTTGGGGGACCGGATGGCGCTCACTGTGGCCTGAACAACTCAGGGTGGGTCTGGAGAGTGGCCGGAGAAGATGCTGGGGGCAGGATGGGCAGGGCCGAAGGGGCCCATGGGCTGGTCTTGGGAACACATTTTCTTTTTCCCCACTCCAGACATGAGGGGCACTGAGGGGTGGAAACAGAAAGTGATGGGATGAGATTCGGGGTCAGGAAGGATCACTTCAGTGGGGGTGTTCCGGATGGGGTGGAGATGGTGGCTCCAGAGGTTTCTATGAGTCCCTGCTGGAGGGGACTGGGGTTCAGCTCACACTTGTGGGGTGGTCCCTGACCCCCTGCCCCAGTGTTAATGAGGCCCTATCAGGGTGTCCCCTTCCTCCTCCTGCCCCTGCTCAGCACTGCCGCCCCCACTGTGCTTGCAGAGCGCTTTAAAACCAACACGGGTGCTTGGCCCGGCTGCCTCATTCCCCATGTGGGCCTCACTGAGCCGGCGTCCTCGTTGTCCTGGGATGACGGGTGCAGGAGAGAGCCTGGAGGAGGCCAAAGGGGCCTGGACAGTGTCCTGTCATTCTCCCAAGCTCTGCATCTGCTCTCCCTCCTCTGCCCCGCTGCCCTGGGTCAGGCCCTGGGGACGCCCCCTGTCGGTGGCTCACAGAGTGTGCGCTGCGGAAGCAGGACCAGGGAGGCCGGGGCATCAGGGCAAGGCATCAGAGGAGGCAGCATCGCGGTCCCACCCCAGCGGCTGTGCCCACACGTGCCAGCCAGCACTGGGCAGGACTGCTCCTGGCGGTGCAGGCAGGGCTCCACATCGCTATCTGCATGCAGCACTGCCGGCTGGCCCGCAGGCGACGCTGGCCGTTGGGACAGTAGGAACCTGCCTGCGGGTCCCATAGCTTCACAGCCTGGGTTACGAGGGCTTCCCTGCAGACCCCCAGGAACGAGGCCCCGGAGCTGTGGGAAGGGAAGCGTTGCTGGTTTCTCTCCGACGAGAGCCATTCACTCTGTGTCCACTCGTGGTCTCAGGGTGGCTCTGAAACCCTCTGCTTTCACTTGCGGCTCCAGGACCAGCCTGCTCATCACCGAGGCTGGGGGCCAGAGGGGCTAACGCTGCAGGCAGCTGGGTGATGGCGCTCATCCCAGCCAACGGCGGTTTAAACTTGGATACCTGTGGGACAGGAAGGCCCGCAGCCCCAAGCCAGCGTTCAGTTCTTTTAAAAACAGCAAACCAATAGTTTCAAGACATTTTTCTGTCTTCCAAAGCAATGCAAACACCAAAAGCAACCCAGATGCCTCTCTGAAGGGACTGCAGGATCATAGATCCTGAGCTCCCGTGTCTGCCCGTTTTCCCTTGGGGAAAGTCGTGGAGCCAAAGGTCGACGTTTGGACGCTCCACTGCTGAGCTGAACTCTCAGCAGTGTGTCTCGCTGGACACAGAACAGGTCCTGGCTCCCTCTGTCGGGGCCCGAGAAAGTGCTTCCTCCTGCTGGACCGCATTTAGCGTGCCCCCATGACTGGCGGACCTCAGCCCTGGACTCTGATCGGGGACGAGCTGTTGGACGACCTGGGCTCACAGAACAACCACAAGGAAACTGCGGGGAGTGACTGACAAACGATGAGCAGGACGTGCACCAAGACACCCACTAACGCCAGCGAGAGACACAGGAGACAGGCCAGTCCCCGGGGAGGACGCACCTGCAGGGCGGAGACAGCGAGGGCTCCTGTGCCAGTTTAGAGTTGAACACACTTTCGTGAAAGTCCCAGCAGAATTAGCTTCTGTGAGAATTTGCCAAAATGAGTGTAAAGTTCATAGAATGGCTGAGAAATTTTAGGGGAAAAAATGGGATGAGCATTACTAAGTACGGAGAATGTGTAATACAGGGATGTAAATGCAGGATCCGGTGGTCCCCGGGTGGTGGTAAGGACGGTGGTGGAACTCAGACCCGACTGTATACAAGAATTTAAAACATGATGACGATCTATCACAAAGAAACAGTCAACCAGCAGATGACTTGGGAAGGGAACGTCTCTGGAAGCAATCTATTCCGAAGGTCACTTTATAGCAGGTGCCCAAATAAAGTCCAGATGGATTGGAGAGTTTAAGGGAAAAAGTGAAACCATAAAAGTTCAGAAGATTCTGTACGAATCTTTGCTGGGTTCCTCAGGGGGAAGCAGAGGTGCAGCAGATCTGAGTTTAAAGCCAATAAAATTAGCGACTAACAAGAGAAAAGGGAAACCAGGTGCCACAAACGGGATCAAGTGTGATGTCCCTAAGATCTAAGGAGGTCTTGTGAATCAAGTCAAAGATCCCTGAGAAAAATCATCGCGAACAATCACAGGTGTTTAACCACAAGGTAGTAACTTACAAGCTCATATGTTGAAACAAAAATGAGATAACTTTTCACCTAACACCTGAGGAAAGGTTTAAAAATGGAGGGGAGAGGAAGACCCCGTGAGACCCACATTCTGGCCACTGCTGGGCAGGTGTCAGCGTGTGTAAGGTTTCCAGAAGTACAAAACGTTTATGTCCTTTGAACCAGGATTTCTGCCTCTGGCCTTGTAGCCTAAGGACAGCATCAGAGGGGTTATCAACGATTCATTACAGTGTCTGCAGTAGCTTCACCGACCCCGGCAAAGCCCAGCCCAAGTGTCAGGTGGCGACTCCGCAGCCGATGGTGTGCAGCACTGGTTCATGACAGAGCTGGTTCATGACGTTTCTCCGCCTCCTGGGACCTGTCCACCGGCCTCATCCACCGGACTGCCTGGCCTTGGCCCCTCACTCATGGCGGGGAGCCCCCCTGCCCTCTCTCACAGCCCCTCACACAAGCACGCGATGTGCCAGATGCACACGTAACCAGGGTGAAACCACGAGTCTCAGCCCTCACTTTGAACCAGTTCACAACTCCCACCCCCGCCACTTCCAGCCCCAGGAGGAGACCACGGATGCCAGGATTGGTGACCCCAGACTTGATGCAAAGGGTGAGTGTGGAGAAGCCCCCGGAGGCGGAGGCTGGGAGGCTGGCGGTACCCACACCCTCCCCACCCTTGGGTGAGACAGGTAGAGCTTTCTCTTCTTTCTGGGGGTTATAAAGGGCCCAGGAGGCGAGACGACGAGAGACCTGGCGGGGGTGAATCACTGTGGGGGTGATGTCACGGGAGGAGGAGGGGAGGACTCTGCGGGGAGGAGAGGGGGCTGCCAGCATCCTGCGTCAGGGCCAGGGCCCCCTGGGGCTCAGCCGCCAGTGAAAAATACCTGCTCCGCCCGTGTGGACAGCAGCTCTACTCACAAAACCTGAAGGTGGAAACAACCCAAGTGTCCAGCAGATGAACAGACAAAAGGAGGTGTCTGCACAAGGTGGGATGCTATTCCTCGGGGAGGAATGAAGTCTAACACCTGCCCCAGCATGGAGGGACCTCGGGAGCACCCCGGGTGAGAGAGGCCAGCCACTAAAGGACAAACATGGCACCGTTCCACGTCCGTGAAGTGCCCAGAATAGGCCAATTGGTAGAGACAAACTGGTAAATGAGAAGCTGCAGGGGATGGGGAGTGGGGGCTGCTTCCGGGTGGGCTCCTGTCCAGGGGGACAAGGGAGCCTCGGCTGCACACCCGAAAATGACGAGGACAGTGGATGTCACGTTGACTGTATTTCACACACCACAGGACAAACATCCAACCAAACCCAGAACCAGAGCCCAGAGCTGGCCACAAGCCCACAGTCACCTGGCTGGCCGGACGCGGCCCCTCCGCCTACCTGGTCTCCCGCCCAGGCACCAGCCCTTCTCCCTGGATGTCCGCCCTGGCCCCTGGGACTACCTCCCTGTCCAGCGTGCCCGGCCCCTGGATGCTGGCTCCCGACCCCAGAGCACAGGCTAACAGGCGGGCAGTTCCCGCCTCGCGGATCCCATCGGTGTGACTGCCCCCACTGGTGACCAGCCAGGGCCCAGCGCACCCGCTCTTACAGATGGTGCGTGCTGCATCCTCTCCCCCTCCACGTTCCCCCTCTGCCTCCGGGGGCCCTCTGGCCAGGCCCAGCCCCTTCTGGAACACCAGGCCCCCATCCGCCTGCTCCAGGTGACCCACGCCCCAGGGCAGGTTCCTGTGTAAAGAGAGGCCAAGGTGACCCCCGTTCCTCCCCTGATTCTCATTTGGTTTATCCTCGCCGATGTGAAAACACTACCTGTTTCAGAGAAATCTTGCTAAGCTAGACGCTCAGCGCTGCTGATTGGTTATGCAAATAGCCTCTCCAAACGGCAAAAGGTCACCTGTGTGTTTCTGGCCCAGTGACCAGAACCTCCGTCCTCCTGCAAGCCTGGGTCTGTGTCCTCAGCGGACCTGAGCAGAAACCCAGGCTGATGGCCAGACACAGGATACCATGGTCAGCGGGGCAGGCGATGCCCTTGCTCTGAGGAGGCCAGGTGGGGCGGGGTGTGCAAAGGCACACTCTGACCTCAACATACACCACGACGTCTCCCTGTGAGCTAGCCCCGCAGAAGGGACGGTCCTTGAAGCAAACCCAGGATCCGTGCGGCTTTCCGAGACCCGGGACGGAGCTGTTACAGGAGGTCAGGCTGACTCGGTGCTGAGGACGCTGCCCAGGCCCAGGCAGGGACGGCGGGTGACACCGTACGAGCACCCCCTCGTTCCCGCACACCCAGATTCTATGGGGGTGACAGCACCCACCCCCACCACCAAGTCCTGGTGAACACGCGGCTCCCGGCGTCACCCAGCCTGGTCTCAACAAGACTGGATTGCTCTCTCCGGCCCTCGGGACACCCCAGCCCTCGGCCCCGCCCTCCGCCCAGCAGTGACCCAGAGCCTCCGCCCCACCGGCCACGTGCTCTTCGACGAGGGGGACGGGGCGGCCACCTGGCACCGAAGCCCGGGGCCGTGGGGCGGAGCCGCCGGTGCTTACCAGCCTCGCCGACGAAGACCTCCACGGGCGCGCTGGCCGGGCTCTCGCCGACGATGTTGTAGGCGGTCATGAGCACCTCGTAGCGCCGGTACTTCTTCAGATCTGCGGGGCGACGGCAGGGGTCAGCTGGCCCAGCGCTGCCACCCTCTCCTAGGAAGCTCCCTCCGGGAGCCACCCCAAGGGGACACGGGGGGAAGTCGGCTGTCCCAAAGAGAGAAGTCGGCCAGGGGCCGGCCGCGCCCACGGCCATCTGTGGGGGCGATGCTGCGGGGCCTAGACCACCCCTCTGCGCTCGGGGGAAGGGCGGCAGAAGTGCCTCCTCTCAGGGAAGGAAGCTGGGTGACAGAACCCGGGCTGAGCTTGCCTTTTGGTTCAGAACCTTCCCTAAAAGTGAGGACAGATGGACTAAGACCCTGGCATTTAAATGCACAAATGTTGGCAAACCACGGCCTTTGAGCTTTAGGGCCGCGTCTCGGGAAGAAAGGGCAGGGGGGTCCAGGCACATCGCCAGGGCGGGCCCAGCACCAGCGCTGGGCTGGTCGGCGTGGCGAGAGCAGCTGATCTTTAAGCCAAGACATTCTGGAAGGTTCTCCTAGCAGCAGGGCTCTCCCGAGGCCCTACATGTGTCCTGTCACCATCGTTTCACGGAAAGGCGGGCGAGGCTCACCCACGTGGCTGAGCTGTGAGGCCACACGAACAGCCCGGCTGGCGCGGCCTCAGCGCCGGGACCCGTGTGGCCGCGCGTCCTCCGAGGAGGAGGGCTGCCGGAGTCAGTGGAGGCCCACCCCGGGGGCACGGCCGCCCCTCCCCAGCCCTGTGCCTCAGGACCCCAGGCTGGAAGGCCTGGATGGAGACCCGGGAGGGAGCCCTCATCCCTGGGGCTGGGTTTGCGCTTAACCCTTCCCCCTGCCTCCCAGGGAGCTCGGGTCTGGGAAGCAGCCGGCCCAGGAGGGACCAGCAGAGACGGGGACGTGCCGGGGGTGAGGGGATGGGGAGCAGGAGCCCGAGCCTGTGACCAACGGAGAAGGCGGACAGAACAGCTCGGTGAACTGCCCTGGCCGCCAGGCCCGGGGGCGGCGGGGATGAAGCGGGATGGTGCTGGCAGCCCTGGCGAGTGCCTGCACCCAGCCCCCCACCGACGTTTACCCACTTTCTAATCCAGCAACGACAACGGTCTCTGAACCGAACCGAACCGCCCTGGGGGCCCTTAGCCTTGCACTTGGTCGCTGAAACCCATCCCCAGCCAAGAACCCACGGGGGAGCAGTGCGGTTTGGTTGAAGATGAAGGGAGGACAGACGGATAAATAAATGGGGGGTGGGCACAGTGGGTGCCCTCGGGCCTGAGCAGGAAGGACGTCCGGACACCTGCTGCAGCAGGGTGGTCCTTGAAGTGAAATGAGCCAGACACAGAGAGACAAACTGTGAGGTCCACTGGTGTGGGGTCCCTGCAGGGGTCAGACTCACAGGGACAGACAGCAGAGGCTGGGGGCCCGGGGCTGGCGGAGGGGGACTCAGTGTTTTGAGAGGCAGAGTCTCCGTCTGGGAAGACGGGAACACTCTGGAGGTGGACGGGGGTGACGGCTGCACGACACTGTGAACGTGCTTGGCGCCCCTCGACACACACTGGTTAAGATGGTAAACGTCACGTCTGTTTTACCACAGCAGAAGAACGGGTTACAAAAATAAGCCGGAGGGGCCCGAGGGGAGACCTGCCTAGCGTGACCTTCCTTCTGCCCCAAACTCAAGGCACCGCTGGGGGTGAAGGCCCCCCACCCCCGTTTCTGGAAGTTCCTTTCTTCACTCCATGGTGGTTCTGGCATGTTGCGGAGCAGCATTTGAGAGGAGGGTTCCACAAGTCAGAGCCATTAATCTAAGCCGGTTTTCACTGGGCCCACTGCGAGGCCAGGGCGCTGGACCGGCCCGTTCCCGGCCAGGTGGCTCCGGTGGACGGCGCTGCACTTACGTGTTAATTCGTACATCGTTAACGTGGAGCTGCTGTTCACGGTCTTGAAGCTGCTCTGGGCTGTCAGGGGCAAGCAGAGCAGAAAGGCAGTCAGCACGCAGGGCACAGTTACAGCAATGACGCGCCACTGAAATGAGGGCCCTGCTCCACGGCCCCCGCGGCCGCCACCACATGTCACTCCCGGGGCTGAGCCAGCCAGGCATCCCGGCCCGCGAGTGGAGGGCGAGTGCTCACCCTCCGTTTAAACGGATGGAATTAGTATCTGGCACCATGTAGCACAAAGCAGCACCGGAGAAGGCAGGAGACTGGCTTCTCCGGCGGCAACGCCTCCGCAGGTGCGGCTCTCAGCCTACCTGTGCTCACGTAAGAGCAGAAGGGGTGGGCGAACCACAACCAGAGCGCTCTGGGGACAGCTGGACCGAGCCAACCACATCCTCTTATTTCACTGATGTGATTTTGCTACAAAGCCCAGGGAGACACTCCCTGTCTGGCCACTGGGACGGGACACCGGCGTTACGCCAAGAGGAGGCAACAACGGAGCCGTGCCCTCCTCCTGGTGTGGGGCTGGGCCCGTGCCAAGATGCAGCCTGGAGGCCCCAAAGGGGGACGGGAGTGAGCACAAGGAGGTGCCTCTCTGCACATGCGACCCTCATGGAGACACGAGGACTGGGGCTCCCCAGGCCCCCGAGCAGGCCGGGGACAGAGCCTCCTAATGTGATGGGAGGTGGTGGCCGCCCTGGCCCCTCCCATCTGGACCCCAGCCCCAAAACCCTGACCCCAGCCCCTCCCATCCAGACCCCAGCACGCAGGTGTCAAGGGGCTGAAGTATTTTCTCTGACGCCGTTTGGGGGACCCAGGGAAGGAGACGCCGCCTAGCCTCCTCCCGAGCGAGGAGGAGGGCCGAGCGGCAGCCTGCCCGCAAGCTCCAGGAGCTGCCTCGACCGGAGGCTGTCGGAAGGACCGTCAGAGCCTGAGCCAGGAGGCGGCTCCCCCCCAGGCCCCGGGAAGCGGAGTCAGGGTGGTGCGGGGAGCTCCCTGCCGACGGCACCTGTCCGGAGCCGGGGCGGGGGGGCTCACCTGTGAGCTCGGCCCGCAGCGCGGAGGGGCTTTTGAGCGTCTTGGCCTCGGAGGCTGCGGCCGCCTCGTACTCCAGCTCCCGGTAGTAGATCCTGTAGCCCTGCAGGAGGCCATTCAGGCTCTCGTCCCGCGGGGGCTGCAAAGACACCACAGTCAGGGGGCCCTGCTGCAGGTGTGGCCAACTGTGTCGGAGGGAGTGGCTGATTCAGACCCAGGGCTCTCAGTCGTTTACGAGAAAATAGACAAGAGTCCCACGGACGGAGAGGAAGGCAGGGACTCGGGTACAGAGCCAGGCCGCGGGGCCACCTCCTCAGAGCCAGGCTCCCTGGTGCTTGCGTGTGGGGACACAGGCATCCCATCCCCGTCTAGCCCAAAGACCCGCGCCCCAGAGCCGAGGCTGGAGGCCTGGCCCAGGCCACAGCAGGGCAAGGAAGCGGCCCGCTCCCGGGAAAACCCAGAAGCCTTGGGACCGCACACGCGGCCTGGTTCTGCATCGCCCACCAGCCGGCCCACTCGTCCCTTCAGCCCCTGTCCCTCCATCCCCCCAGGCCCCTCACTGACCCCTCCGGCGGCCAGGTCACCCCACCCTGCCCGACACAGATGTGGGGCTGGGGCCCGTGGCCTGCCCTCCCCGGCGGTAGGTCAGGTCTAGAACCCCCACGGAACACGGGTGACGGGGAGCTCGGAGAGAGGCTCAGACCGGGCGAGAAGAGGAGCCGGGCGTGCGGGACTCGGGCAGGACCTGAGCAAACCACAGACACGGGGGCAGCAGCTCGTCAGGCAGGCCCGGCCTCTTCTTTTCCTCCAGCTGGTTTCTTCCCATAAGTAAGTTTGGGGAGGGCGTTTTCATCAAGGTGCCCCATCTGTCACTAGGAGAAAGGCCGTCCCGTTCCACACGGAATCCCAGTAAGGCCACAGAGCTGACCCGGGTGCTGGGGCTCCAGACGCTGGTCTCTCCTCTGGGATCCTCAGGCAAGGAGGATCAACCTCCCAAACTGTGACCAAGATGGACGAAGAGCATGCCCATGACCCCTGGGGGGG